ACTCTTACCCCACTGTAGGGACACTGTTGGGTCCTGCTGACAAGGAAGAAAAATGTTTTCTTCCACACAGCATGATGGGACTTCAGTGTGCTCACTTGTGATGGCAGGCAAATTATGCTGGCCCCTGACACCACAAGAGAAAGTACTATTGACCCTGCACAACGAGTGGGGCTCGAATATACTCACTAGGAGCTATAGAGGGGTTGTGCTGCCCTTTTGCACAGGGGTGTACTCGTTAAGTATTGTGAACCAGCTCTCAAGACCCTGACACTGTGTGCGTCCACCTAACCTTACCTAACCTGCCTCTCCATATGCTCAGCAAGGCTGTGCCACTACCACTACAAGCACATGAGGAGCACTAGCGAACACGGCTAAAGCTGATTACCGCTGAAGAAATTGTACAGATATTGTGAAACTACCTCAAATCCGAAACCAAAGTATCGTACCCAACTGACACTATGAAACACATTTCTGGGACCAACAGATGACCTAATGGTTACGTCGCTGGACTCTCACATAGTCTATTGTGGTTCAAGTCATAGACCCTGTGGCTTAAACTCACACTGGGCACATGTGCGTGTGTGCCCAAAATTATGAGAAGAGAATGGAAAAGTGGGACCAGCAGTTGGTTAAACTCACACTGGGCACATGTGCGTTGTAGTTGACTGCAGTTACAGTCCTGGACCCGGTGGCTTAAAACTCACACCAGGCACATGTGCGTGCGTGCCCAAGATCCCAAGAAGAGAATAGAGGAGAAGGGATTGTTGTGTGACCATACCCCGGGGTGGGGGGCGATTTCTCTTTCTCTCTCTGTCTTTCTGGCGTGCCCTATAACAAAAATTTCTAAAAAAAAAAGTAAATAAAATAATAATAGAGGAGAAGGGATTGTTGTGTGACCATACCCCGGGGTGGAGGGTGATTTCTCTTTCTCTCTCTCTCTCACTCTCTCTCTCCTGTCGGTACACATGCTCCGAGGTAAAAATCTAAACAATAAATAAATAAATAATTAGAAATCCTGGTGATGAAGAAGTTGATACACAAAATTAAAAATGCAAATGAGAGCACCAAATAGACTGGACCACACAGAAAAAAGAATCTCTGTACTTAAAAACGGAACACTTAAGGCTCAGCTCTGTGTATATCTCTTGCAGTCTTTAACGTGCTTGTGCTCAGGCATCATCTATTGTTCCAGTCACAGGAAGGTTCAAGCACTGAAAAGCCGAGCTGTCGTACTTAAAGGGCGGGCAGTCAGTGCTGGCTCCGTTGCAATTGTCCTTTGCAACACCTACCTGGGGCCTCTCCAGATCTCTGCCTCCAAGTAGTCTTTCT